ATTAACTAACTAATTAAAACACACTTAACCAATTAACTAATTAACACGTAACTAATTAATAACACGCACACATCTTGTCTCTCGCGTGTGTGGAGGATGCGCTCTCAGCTTCCATGCTTTCGTCAACTACATGGCAACGAAGAGCTTCATGCGGGACATCGATTAACTAACTAATTAAAACTCATTTAACCAATTAACTAATTAACACGTAACTAATTAATAACGCGCACACATCTTGTCTCTCGCGTTATGGTGCAGGTTGCACGCTCAGCTTTCCAGTTTGCTTTAATCGACTATCATGGCAACGAAGCACGCCCATGTAACACACCGAACTAATTAACTAATTAAAACACACTTAACCAATTAACTAATAACACGTAATAATTAATAACACGACACATCTTGTCTCTCGCGTGTGTGCAGGTGTCTACTCTCAGCTTCCAGGCTTCAAATTCGTCGACTACATGCAACGGAAGTCGCCTTCATGGCGGGACATCGACTTCGAGTACACCGAGGCGTTCGCGACTCTCCGACCCGTGACGGAAACGGAAAGCTGATCGCGAAGAGTCTGCGTCTGATCATCCGGAACTGAAGGCCAGGATGTGACGACATGACCATCGCCGAGATGGTGAAAAGCGCCGACGCCGACGGAGACGGCAACATCGACTACGAAGGTGAGAGAGGAGGAGAAGAGGGCGAGGGGAAGGAGGAGGAGAGGGAGGATGAAGGACGAAGGGAGAGAGGGAAGTACGGTATATTCGAGTAACGTACCGAGGCAAGAGAAGGAGCGTCAGAGCGAGGAAGAGGGGCACGATGGCGAGATAGAGGAGAGAGAAGGAGAAGTGCGAAGCATGAGAAGACATGGCGACGGAGAGTATAGGGAGGAAGAAGAGACGGACGGAGGAAGTATGGAGGAGCGTAGGTAGGGCGCGCGAGAGCGAGGCGTATGAGAGATAGGGAGATCGGAATGGCCAGAGGGCTCGAGACGGAAGATTTGATGGTGAGAGAGAGATGGTCCGTCTGACTATCAACTCCAGAGGAGTTGGCAACCAAGCTGAAAGAAGCTATGCTCAGGTGGAGAAAGAACATTGGCGAGGATGGTTGGCGTCAAGAAAATTCCACAAGTACCTGTGGGGGAACATTTCAAAATCGTCCATCTGATGCATAAGCCTTACTAGAGTCTACATGGGGAGTGCTAAGGCGAGTTTCACCAGCAAGCGGGCATCGGCAATCGAATTGCGAGAGTGAGGAACAATCGCACATGCTACAGGTACCTAGCACGAAGCTGGTGAGGAAGAGGGAGAAGCGAAGCTACGTCTACAACCTTGGCCATCCATAGCGAATGCAGGATGCGCTAAGTTAGGAGGCGGTAAACGTTGACGGCAAGTAACTAGGACAGATGAGGGGTTATTTAAGTAAAGGAGCCAGTAGCGGCGGAGACCAGAGTGATAGGAAGGGGAGCAGCCTGATGAGAGAGACGAGCCTAAACGATATCAGGAGTACTAGCGGAAAGTTCGAAGAACGCAGAGAGATATGGAATGGTCTGAAAGAGCAGGGAAACACGAGCGGAAAAATACGAAGTTGCAGACGATGATCGGAGGTCGATAGGGGATGCAGGAGAGAGCACAAGTTAACGCAGATAGGCACTACGCCTTAAAAATAGGAGTCAGAGCCGAGAGCGAGAGAAGAAATGAGAGCACGTGACTGCAGCGGTCGAGGAACGGAAAATGAGTGCAGACGAAGGATCGGGTGAGGGTGTATGGAAGGGATGACAACGTGAGTGGTGCGCGAGTAAGAGCAAGTGACAGGGAAGCAGGTAGACCCGGCATCTGATATGAATCGAGACATATTCATAAGGCACCAGAAGCTGCACCAGGACGACGGTCACGCATGAAGACGACTGCGGACGAGGCGAACACGTGAGGGGAGTAGGATGGGGGATGCGCCTATATCTATCAGAGAGGGTAAGGCGGAGGAGACATAGAGATAGATGAGGATAGAGTGGAAAAGCGCAAGGATAAGAGGAATGGGCAAGCGGAGAGCGGACAATGATGAATTGACGGAACAGCGGGAGAGGAGGCGAGGGCGCAGCAGCCGAGGATGGCACGCAGGAAGTGAGGGAGAGCTGCTGATAGGAGGGGAGTAGCCGAGGGAGAAGCGGGGAAGAAGGCATACCAGTAAGCGGGAGCGACGCGCGAAACCGCGATAACATTTCCTAATAATAGGGACACAGGTTCATCGTAGGGGCATGACGGCTGACTACGCATACGTAAGTGCTGAGAAAGTTTTTCATGATGCAGAGAGAAGGTAAGACGCGAGACCGAGCAGGACGACAGAGTAGGGAGAGAACGGAGCGAGGAACATGTAGGCACAGAGTGAGAGACAGAAGAGTGTAGAAGGCGGCGAGATAACGGGGGGCCGAAGAAAAGGGATGAGGAGGCATGGGGGGAAGGGGAAAGGGAAGAGGGGAGGAGGAGAAAGAGACATGAGAGAGAGGGGGTGAAAAGGAAGTGTAGATATGAAGAGGCAGAGAAATGAGAGAGAATAGAAGAGAGAGAGAGAGATGAAGAAAGAGAGGAGAGAAGAGAGAGAGAGAGCGAGAGAGAGAGAGAAAGAAGAGAGAGAGAGAGAGAGAGAGAGAGAGAGTAGAGAGAGGAGAGAGAGAGAGAGAGAGAGAGAGAGAGAAGAGAGAGAGAAGAGAAGTGAGAGAGAGAGAGAGAGATAGATAAACGGAGAGGTGTTGAGAGGCGATAGTCGTGCGTGACGTCACTGTGCAGCGTAAACTGTGTGCATGTACATAAATCTGTATAAATAGCTAATATTACGTGTGCGCTACATTCCAGAATTCGTCAAGCTGGCTTCCGCCAAGCGGTTTTAAGCGTGATGTGTGCTGCTTACGTCATCGTGCGCGCGCATGCGCACAGAAGAGGAACAATGAAGATGAAGAGAACGGTCGATCGTTGGAGCTTTTGTTTATTATTACACTGACGAGCTAGGGTTAACGCCGCAGTCGGTGGCCAGGTGGCGCTGCTAGCTCGTCTGGTCTGAATGTACTGCCATCTTATTTATATGCTGTTTACATATGTACATAGAATCACGATTACATACGTTACCTTTACAGATATGAGATCCTTGTATGAATATTTTGTGTGAATATTATGTTACGGATTGGTGCTGGTCATATAGTAATAAAATTCATTATATTGAAGCAACAAACAAGTGTGCATCGTTCGTTTATCCGTGTACGAAATTACAGAAACTTATTACAGAAATTACAGAACCTATAAAAAATTGCCACTCAACACAAAATGTTGTATCTTTCATTTCTCCAATGTTACATTCCTAAGTGCACATTTCTGCCCCTCGTACGTTAAAATAAACCGCGTAACGGAAAAACAACAACAACAACAACAACAACGCATGCCACGCAATGTGAGGCAAGTAAATAAATAAATAAAAAAAATAATTAACAAACAACAAACAACAGCGAAACGCTGAACGAGGCAAGAATCGGAAGAAAAAAATGCACAAACGTTTATTTCACATACCAAAACAAACTTACAAAGGAACGCACGGGGGACCCAGCGCACGCGACAGATCGCCGGTCCCCCCTCACTGACTAGCTCTCACGCAACAGATGGGGGTCACCCAGAGGTCAAGGTCGGTCAGAGGTCACACACAGCTACACGCTAGCTGGCTCACCGGTGGACGCAGAAGACTCAAACATGGCGGCTCTTAGTCTTCCTCCCTACACAGACTCAAACATGGCCGATCTTAATCGTCCCCTACACACGGACTCAAACATCGCCGGTATTTGTCTTCCCCTATGCAAACTCGAACATGGCAGCTCTAGTGTGCTCCCTTCCCAGACTTAAACATGGCCGCCCTTAGTCATGCGCACATGCATTCGACTACACCTACCACCGCCCACACGCTTCTTGTCTTCACACACCTTCCTCCCCACCCCCCAATAAATGCTTCCGGTAGTATACGGGGTGTCTATATTCAAGCCGGTACGGGAGATTACGGTACGCATATACTTGCTAATATATTGACTAATCGTGCGTCAATAAACTCAATATTCACAGCGAGTATAGCTAAGACATGTGTCTATAGGTATCTAGAATATATTATGCAAATGATCTCCCGTACCGGCTTGAATCTGTAAATATTGAGTTTATTGACGCATGATTAGTCAATATATTAGCAAATGCTAAATATATGCGCGCGAAAGTGAATTACAGATGATTAAATTTCTAAAATTCTAGATACCTATAGACACATGTCTTAGCTATACTCTCTGTGAATATTAAGTTTATTGATGCACGATTAGTCAATATATTAGCAAATATATGCGTACCGTAATCTCCCGTACCGGCTTGAATATAGACACCCCGGTAGTATACTCGGTCCAGTTTCAGAGCCACCTGGCGGGGCGGCCGTAAAAGTTAACATAACTAACCGTTATAAAACGTCCTCCATTATATCTCATTGTCTAAATAATCGCCTAACCCGCTAGCGGTGCACACGCACGCACGCACACGCACGCAGGCACGCACGCGCACGCACGCGCGCGCTTGTACACGTACTCACGTGTTCATATATGCACGTACGCACACGTGCCTGAATACACGCACGCACGCGCGCGCGCGTCACAGCAATAGAGTAACATACATGATGAATAAGAATCAAACAGAACATTTTGTATATTCATATATAGAGATAGACAGTCAGATAGATAGATAGGTAGATGGATGGATAGATAGATAGATGGATAGATAGACGGATAGATAGATATATAGACAGACAGACACACATATGGATCAGATAGATAGATAGGTAGGTAGATGGATAGATAGATGGATAGATAGACAGATAGATAGATGGATAGATAGATAGATAGATAGATGGATAGATAGATAGA